AAAGGCCCCGCAGCCCGGGCCGCGCCCTTTAAAGGTCCGGTAACGGGAGCCCGAGGCCCGCAGGGCAGAGCGCGGCGCCAGGTGCGGGAGCCGCACGAACCCGAACCCACCCCGGGCGCAGCCGCAGCCCCGCCTGCTGAGGGGGAGTTTCCTCACAGGGAGGGAAACCTTTCCCCGGCGGCCCCAGCTCCCCCGGATCCAGCGGGTTTTGTCATCGCCTCCACCTGCGGCCCAGACACGGAGCCGCTCGGCTCCAGGTTCTGGCCCTGCCCTGGCACGGTGGTCGCGGAAAATCACACCGAAAATGTGCCTTTCTCCAACCTGCCCCCCACACCGCTCGCTCAGGACTTTGCGGGAGAACGGGGTGAAAAAGGCAAGTCAGGCTTTGCTCTTCATCTGCTGCCACCATCCCGCTGCTCAGGTTTGAAGTGCTGCAAACACAGCTCGTTAAGTCTTTGATAATCCCACACAGCCAAGAAGCTCTTCCTGTAACACCGCTCGGGCCATAAATGCACCACAGAAAGTGCTTGAAGCGACTTTTCTGCTTGAATCACCCACGTTTTCAGGGGACTCGTGGTGCTTTTGAGACTTGAAGGTTCTGTCATGCTCTTCTTTACAATGCAGCCTGATACACAAAGCTTTGTCAGTGTTACTCCCCTCATCATTCTGTGGAGCCTGCTTGTTTGGGTTGTTGGTTTTTAAACCACTGTGTGGAGTTTGCTCTGTTTTCAATAATATTCAAATAGCCACATGAAACCCCCACCTGTGCTCCCACACACCTTTAAAGATGATGGCAAAGGGAACAGCTGCTTCCTTATCTCTTCTTAAGTGCATTCAGGGGATGGGAAATTATCAGCAAGCACTCTCCTCCTCCAATCATTTGTCCACATGCAAAGAAATTACCAACACCCAATTACCAAAGGAGTTGCAGGTAAGGAATTGTTTCCCTACTGCCTTTCCCAGGTTGAGGGGAAGAGGGACACTTCTCTTTTCCTGTGCAGCAGAGGTCAGGTTTACAGCTCCAGCCCTTGTTAAAAGCAGTTTCCCTGCAAAATTAATGTATCAGTAAAAGTCCTACTTCAGAACTTGCCCTTTAAAGCAAAGGATAAAATAAATTTCATTATGGAGGCAGAAGGATTTTTTTCTGTGAGATCTAGTCTGCAAGACTCTAGAACCACACCAGCATTTGTGCTCTGGCCTGCAAAATTGCAGAGGATCTCCATCTTCTGGGAAAAAAACACCCAACACAAACAAATTGAAGACCACAAACTACTTAGATTAAAAAATTCAAGTTCTTCAGCTTTTAATATTCAAACCCATACAGCAACAGAAGAGAGTCAGAGACCTAAGTGCAAGGGAACTGGAATGTGGATTTTTTTCCCCTCTCCATTTCAACTCATGACTGGAAAACTTACCCTTGCCCCAGTGCTGATACCATGGCATGTCCTGCCTGTCCCACAAAATCCCAGTGTTTTGTCTTCAGAGGGATTAAAGACAGACTACAGATAAATACAGGAAATTATCTGACAAGTCACAGTCCAGAAGAACCTCCAACAAGGCCTTTATTTCATGCCACAAGAGGTTCTCCATTTTCAGTGACCATCATTACAACAAAGGAAATTCTCATGTATCAAAATGACCATCAAAAAGCAGTATGTCAGAAAGCAAGTTTTCTTGCATCATTTTCTAATACAGCAGGTAAAAAATATAAACAAGCCATACAAATACTTTATACAAACAGTAAGTTTTGTGGTTCTTTGTTTGGGTTTTTTTACATTTACTTGGTCAATTTACAAATAATCTCTCTAGACAGTTAAAATTACCATACAATGACTTGAGTACAAACCTCCACCTTATCCCTCAGCTTATTAAAATGTAGAAATTCTCCTTGGCACAATAAAAATATATCTATGTGTGTATATATATATATATACACTGCCCAGTTTGTCTCTGTATTCCAAATACAACATAATTGCTCTGGTTAGCATGAAATGACATTACAATTTATGAATTGTAAGGGACAAAAAACCCTTTTCCCTAGAAGGGTGGAGAAAAGTCTAAGTCTACAACAAAAATAACAGTTGTTTTTAAGAAGATGATACATCAAAAAAAACACAACTCAAAGTTGTGCTGTTTCCATCATCACAGATGCCTTAAGGTTTTTTTTATTATAGAGATTTAAAAGCAAATCAAAAGTGTTTTCTCAATTCCATGAATTTCTTTTAAATAATTTTAAATCCATTTAAAGTTCTAAAAAAAAAAAAGTTCCAACATAAAGGGTAAACAGCAGCTTTCAACTCCATAGAAAACAAAGCAGTGGAAGACATTCAGAAAGCAACATAGATGCTTCATAAGGTATCTTAAACCAGAGCTGAATTAAGGTAAAAAAAAAAAAATGGGCACAAAAATTGTATTTACCTCAGTCTTCAGTATAAAACAAGAGACTCAGATATGAGTAGCTTTACTTTTTCCATTTCTGTGTACCTGCACAGCCTGTGTACCTGCAGCTGCTGATCTGTGCCCACGTTCAACCAGATCCACTCTGCAGTTAAATATGAAGACCAGGAATTGTTTTTAAGGCAGTCAATTAATCACTCTCTTCACTGGAATCAAAAATGTCACTGAGCTGGAAAGTTGTTCTCTGCTGACTGGCTGTTAACTTGTCAGAACTGAACTGCTTCTGTTTCCTTTTTTCTAACATTTCTTCAAATTCTGGAAGTTTCTTTTCAAAAAGATAATCGATGATTTCTTTGGAAAAAAAACAAACAAACAAGTAGTCTTAGTTGGATCTGTGATGGAACTGGTGCCATGGGGAAAAGGGATCTCACAGGCAGCAATGATTTAACCAGTGTTAACTGGTTAAAAAAACCCTCACTCTTCCATAATAATCACAGTAGCTGGAGGGTGGATCAGACACATGAACATGCACAGAGAAACTGAAACAGCAGAGTCATCAGACTTCTAAAAGCCAAGGTACTAAAGAGGTTGACAGGGACTGCATGAAGATGCCACTGAAAGCAAACTTACTTAAAAAGCATTGAGTGAAATAAGTGTAAAGTCTGAGATTTTAGACAATTTACTTAGGGGGAAGCTAAGAAAGCATTGAACCAGAATACATGTCCTCTTGAACAACAAAAAAAATCGTTCATTATTATAATCAGCTAGGATACTGACCAGAAAAAGTCTTTTTCTGCCAAAAAGGGACACAGGAGACTTTTAGCTTATAAAATTTTGCTTGAACATAGGCTCTAGGGACATCTCTGAAAAGACAAGAGTTGAAAGAATTAGTGGTGCAAGGAACTATTGTAAGTTCAGTTGTTCCTGAATTATCTATTCATGAGAGTGATGTTACTTAAACAACATCAAAGCTTTACATAGAAAGGATGGATTTCAAATCCTAAGCAAAACAATTTTTCAAGACCCTCTTGAAAGGTGAGAACCTGAACCCCACCAATATACATCTCTAGGTTTAGTGAAAAGAAATGGTGAATTAAACTGAAAGCATGTGGAAAAAGAATTAAGTGCTGTAGAAAAAGTATCAACATTTGCAGTATTGGTAATTTCATATTCAACATTTACTGTGTTTGGAAGGAGACAATATAATGTTACACATTCCTATAATTCTCCATTTTTCCTATGTGTTAATTATCACTTGCCAAAGTGATAAGTGATGTTTTAAGTTCAAAGACTGCAGCAAAGACTAACACAGTTTTAGCACACAAAATGTGCTGGGAATACAATAAGGGTTGCTTGAAGTGGTTAAAATTAAGTTTCAGAGATTTGGGGCAGTTTATTGCTCAATACTATGCAGGATATACCAAGGATATATATATATGTTAGCAAACTAAATGACATTTTCTGTAGTTGCAGAGGTCCAAGACTTTTGATGCCTTTGTGGAATTTTTAAGACTCTCTGCTTCAAGTAGCCTTTGTATCCATAAAAAGAGGAGAAAAAAAAAAAGTTTACCCAATAATATTACTGAGTTCTTCCCAGTTCACTTCATTAGCATCTTCCACTTTCATTTCATACAACCTGTGGGTATCATACAGAAGCAGTTTGTAGGCAGAATTGAAGAAGTATTTAATTCACTAATGCTCACAGCTCCCCCACTCCTAAATCACAAGATATTTTGTCCAAAGAAAGAGCAGTTGCAAAACCTGAAGGAAACTGCAGGAAAGTTCTCACCCAGCAAACTTTTATACACTCAACTCAGAACAGTAAGAGATGCAAAAACATTCCAGGACCTCTGAACTGTACCTTTTGATAAGATTGATCTTGGCCTGTAATCCTTTGGTCCCCCTGTACACCTGCTGCCCTTTGGTCATCTTGTTTGTTAAAATGGTAGTCCTTTAAAAACACACACAAAAAAAAAGATTTGTATCATTCTAGGCACCACAAGGAAGTGTCTTCAACATGCTAGAGCTGCCACAGAGCAGCAGCAATCAGGCTTCACTATCCCAGCAAGAACAGGCAACACAGCCAGCAAAGAGTTATTGGTCTCAGACACATTTGTTGCACCTGTCTGTACTTTACAGCCCAACAGTCATTGTGGCACAAACACTTTTGCAAAATGGCATTAAATGCCCCCTGGAACACATTTGACTGTCTCAATTCAGTACACCTCAGTAGAGGAAAGGTAAAACCTTACCATTTCTGTTTACATTGTCTCCAGTATCGAGTTCCCACTTTAGCTTCAATCTCAGTCCAGGGCAGTTTCTCACACAGTTTCTCACGGTCAATGGAGAGATCCCTGTTGGATTTGCCTGATGATGACAGGGAATTGGATTCTTCCCCTTCCAGCCTTTTCCTGATCACCTCCTCTACTGCATGCATCAACTTCTGGGTCTCCTCCTTTGACCAAGGACCATAATTAATAGCTAAAATTGAAAAATAAGGTGAAGGCATAATGCATCATCAAATAGCAGGGGAAAAAAGGCAAAAGAACAACTGTTTCACTTTGCACTGTTCTTATTTACAGCCCTGGCTTCTTAACATGCTTCCCAGAAACTCTTTGTACCAGATTTGAGAGAGGAGTTCAAGCTAATTGCTAAAGAATAGCACTGATCCCTAGTTTCTATCTTTTAAAACCTGGTTGCCAAATTCCTCCTACCCTCCCCTGAAAGCATCTATTTAGATGCCAGTTCCATTTCATTAAAAGTTGCATTTGTTCCACTTCTTTTCCCCTTTCTGTCAGAGACTGTTCTTACCCCTCACATATGAAAATGCAACCAGTGGTCTGGAAAAAAGAACCACCACCACAAATTCATTAAAAAAAAATTAAAAATCCACTGTAGGGCTTTTTATACCCAAAGTTTAGGGCACATACAACACACAGTTAAAACAACTTCTCAAGTTGCCTTACACAGAATTAATTTTTCTCTTAAAATTACAAACCTGACTTGATTTCAGAGTATTTCATAGCAACTGAGAGGTTAGAACGGGACATCATCTCAGCAATCTTCTTCCAATCATTGCCATGCAGAGCGTGATACTTCTTCAACTTTTCTTTTTCTTCCTTCGTGTACCTAGTTGAGGAAATGGGCACAACTGTAAATTCAAACCATTCCAGTATCTTAAAAGACCTGTAATCTTTACAGGTGTTTCTATGTCACTCATTTCAAGCCAGATTTTAGAACAGAGGTATTGATAAGGACTAGTCAGAAGAATAAACTGTCAAATCAGGCACAAATGGGAGAGGTTATCTTCATTTATATCCATTTTGAATCTACAAATAAACATCAGAGACTGATATTACCATTCAGAAATTATTTAATATTATTCACTTACCTCCCTTTATAATTGTTTGGGTCAAACATCTTCCTTGCTCTGTAATAGATGAGCCTCCAGGGTCGTGGTATTCCCTCAGCTAGGAGGTAAAGATTCATTTTTAAGGAACATTCTCACACTGGTGAAGCCACTTAAAAAAGCCAAAACAAATTCCCAAACCCAACCACACATGTTTTCATGACCATGCTGTCAATTCCCTCGATCATCAGGACATACTCTCCAACACCTCAGTAACTACACAGGAAATAAATTGAAGACAATCTCAGCAGGAGCTTAAAAAAATAAACAAAGATTAATTGTTGCTACTGGAAATGCCAAGAGCTGGTGAAGAATTGTTCGTGTGTGTGTGGATATCCAAAGTTAGATCAAGGTGATATTTGAAACTCTTAAATTCTTCATAGGCAAGCAAAGATGGTCAAGAACAACACACTGTACAGATTATCAACTACAAACTCCCAGCAGCACGTTCCTTTTTCTGCCAAATGCAGCCCCATGGGTGCTTTTCAATAAATAGCTATTTTAGAAACTACACTGGAATTTTACCAGGTTGTGGAACTAACATTCAATTTGAGAAGGAACTTAAATACTCACAAAGTTTTTGACAAAATAGGTGTTCTGCTTTCAGGCGCTTGATGGTTTCTTTATCTTCTGGGTACCTGGAGGTGAACAGGAGTTTCTCAGCACTGTCTATTCCAGTAATGGTTAAGAAATCTTCCACATTTTTCCGGATTTGATCATTTTCCTTCCGGGAGAACCTGCCAAACTTGACAGTGACACCTAAAAATATACAGAAAGTTTAATTTTTAATTAAAAGGAAACCTCGAGCAGCACCTCTTGAGCACTGCAACTCAGGCTCTAGCAAAAGTGTAACAGAAGATCAATGAATTCAAAAGGTGAAAAAAATAAACTTAAAAAAGACAAAACAAGAGCTGGGAGCAGGGGATTTCCACCAAAGTTTTGGGTTGTGGATGCTTTGGGAAGTGGATGCTATAAAGCAGAGAAACAGAAAATTACATCCACTGGAATGAAGTGAGCCAGACTCCAGGGATGTACCAGGCATGATACAAAGCCAAACTATCTTCCCCTCTATCCCCGGATTAGCAGAGCTGCACAGTGTTTGCTCCTTGCTGCAGTAATGTGAGATCTCAGCTTTCCAGTGCCTGAAGGAGCTCCAGGACAGCTGAGGAGGAACTTTCAACAAGGGCTTGTAGTGAGAGGAAAAGGATGAATGGATTAAAACTGGAAGAGGGGAGATTTAGGGGCCACGTTAGGAGGAAATTCTTTAGTGTGTGGTGAGACCCTGGAACAGGTTGCCCAGCAAGGTTGTGGCTGCCCCATCCCTGGAAGTGTTCAAGGGCAGGTTGGATGGGGCTTGGAGCAACCTGGTCTGGTGGGAGGTGTCCCTGTCCATGCAGGGGGGTTGGATCTAGATGATCTCTAAGGTCCCTTCCAACCCAAACCATGCTATGATTCTCACCTTGTTTTTTAAACTCTTTAAACCTCATTAAGTCTCTTCCAGCCATCTTCCTGATTGAACTGTCTGATATATTCCTCACGTGAGGAATAAACTCTTCCAATTCTTGTCTTGCAATATCCAAACCCGTGTCTGAACAGACAGTAGAGTTCAGGATCTCATCATCGCTCACACTAAGCTCATCAGAGGCTGCCATTTCAGTAAAGGAACTATTCTGGTCCTTCCTTTCCTCTGATGCCAAGGGTTCTGATACCCTGATATGAAAGAAAAAAAGGATTAAAATGAACTGCTAGAGCTCCAAAACAAAGATTTTGTTAGTGTCTCTACCACTAAGGGAATGAACATGTTCATTACTTAAAGAACAAGGAATATTTCACACACCCAACCCCTTGTCTTTCCAGCATTTTAATATAGATATAATTTAGTATCAAATATCCACACTTGCAATACTCAAGGAGCTTGCTGAAGTGGTGAAAATCTGCACTTTTCCCACAAAACTCTCACACCTGGACCTACAGAAGACACAATGTCTCCTGCAGTGCAGAACTCTTCCATCTCTCTCTTACTAGAGCTCTTTATTGTGTGTTCTAGACACAGTAAGAGCATCAAGAGCTTCTTACACCAGCATTTGCTTGCACAGATCATTACATTCTTTAGTTGACCTTACTAATTGTTTGGCAAAAATGCACATATTCAATATTAACACCAAATGTAGCAAATTAAATTCCTTCTTTCCCCCTTTTAAACAGGAAAAAATATTCTACTCTGAAGGCAGTGGCATTCTTACCAGTTTTACTGTGCTGGTAACTAAGCTCTTACAGTAGGTCTCCATAATATCTCAATGTAACATGAAGGTTTTTGAAGTTATTTTTTAAAAAGACATATAAAACAGACTGAAGAAAAATCTGGGACCCAAATCATGTGGCACAAACATTTCTGGAGGTGGGGAACAAACCCAAACAAACCCCAGAATTTAACTTACATTACTTCAGATCCTGAAGACCTTCCTTCCATGACCGAAACACTGTGTTTGGTTGGCTTTTTGGCACGTGCTGGAGTTTTCTGATGAGATCCATCAGCTGCTTTAGTTGGCTTGGAAAAAGGAGCAGGAGCATCCACAGAGTCTTCATTGATGACAAGAAAATCATCAGTGTCACCATCTTCTTGCCATCGCTGGGATGAGGCAGCACCTCCCTCCTCTGCAGGTGAGGGCAAGGCTGGGTCTTCCTTTTGCCTGCTCTGCTCTGGAGATGACACCAGTAACTCAGCAACAGTCACATCTGTGTCTTCCTGCACCTCTTGGCTACTGCTGCCTCTTTTCTTCTTCTTCCTCTTCTTTTTTGGTCGTTTAAGGTCATTTTTCTCACCTGTTTCTGAGGCAGGCAGCTTGTGTTCCTCATCATTTTCAGGCCATTTAGCTTTTCTTTTCTTCTTAGCAGATTGTTTGAAATAAACACAATCCACCTCCAGATAACTTTCATCACTTTGCTGATGTTCTGGGACACCAGGTTCCTCTGAGGCAGGCAGCTCGTGTTCCTCATCATTTTCAGGGCATTTAGCTTTTCTTTTCTTCTTAGCAGATTGTTTGAAATAAACACAGTCCACTTCCAGACAACTCTCATCATTCTGCTGATGTTCTGGGACACCAGGTTCCTCACTCTGATCATCTATGTTCCCACTGTACTTAGATTTCATCTTTTTCTTTTTCTTTCTGGAAACAACCACTCCAGTTTCATCATTAGTTTCAGTTTCATTTCCTGCATAAAAATGATCTAACAAAGACTGCTTCTTCTGCCCTTTGATTTTGTGTTTCTTCTTCTTCTTCTTCTTCTCAGAGCCTTCAACCCTCTGTGCTGCTCTCTCATCAAACAGCAGAGGAGAAGCACAGCCAAGCTCTGCATTTTCTTCACTTTCACCATTTTGATGCTCCTGGTGATATTCTTTCTGTTTTCTCTTCTTCTTCTTCTTCAGAACTTTCTGAACTTGAAAAAAATCATCTGCACTTACTACTTCTCTCATATTTTCTCTTACCTTAAATAAAAGGGAGAAGTTTTACTCAAGTATGTACCATTGCACAGTAAGAAAAAAATCAATAAACCCCCTCCAAAAATACTGTTGAGCTACTCAATATTTTCTTAGAAACATTTAATAAAGGTACTTACTTTTTAATCCAGCTAATGTTGGAAAGTGACTATGAAAAAGTGACCCCTCCTTCATCAAACAGATGTGCATCACAGCTGTATTCAGCCTTACAACTGCCTTCCTGTAACAAAGATACACTTTAATAACTATAAGCTTGACATGGATTTTGAATAACTACACAATGACTGCTCATTATATTCAACTCTGTTTTCAGCAGGAAGCAGCAACAAGCTAAAAGTAATAAAGAAACATTACACTAATCAGCACAAAAACTAAGTTTGCTAATTAGAAGCTTCTGACTGGCTTTGCCCACCTTCAAACAGGGCCAGTGAGGACCTGCCAGCTCTGGTGGACTCTGCAGCCAGAGCCAACCTGGTCCTCAACAGGAGGAACTGTGGAGTGACACAGAGCAGGCAGGAGGAATCTTCTGGCATACTTCGTACAGCCAGCACATAAGAAAACACCTATAAAACAACATTCTGTCATCTCTGAAATAAAAGACCTTGAATTCCATCCCCAACATGGTCTCCAGCACTGACCAGTACCAGACATCACAGGGGACAGACCCCAACCCACTCAGCCCCCGAGGACAGACCCCAACCCACTCAGCCCCGGGGGACAGACACCAACCCACTCAGTTCCAGGGGACAGACCCCAACCC